CTCAAGGTATAACTACAACAATACATCAACGTGAACTAAAAATGCATTGATCAACATACAGACTTAAAAAATAATCTTAATCTTACAGAGCAATCAGTTTCCTAGGATGCATGCTCAACTCGATACTTTATTTTCATGAAGTATAATACTAGCAGGGAGCAGACGAGAACAAAAGGGGTGACAAGAAACAAATACATCTCTCATCATACAAATTGCACTCAAACATTAAACATGAAGCAGAATGGTTGGCAGAAAATCATGCACTCAGGCGATCATAACCGACTTCAATGAAGAAAGGGCATTGTTCGACGTAATAACAAAACCGTGCAAGGTACAATATTCATCAACATATAGAACAACAATTATAAAATTTTCAAACATGGGTGAAACCAATGGAGAAGTAAACCGAAAAAGAAAAGAAGTCTTGCAGTTGCAATAGACAAACCTGATCCCCCTGAGATACAGCTGAGTCTAATGGGGCAGGAGAATCTGGCCCTGTAGTAAACAAATGACTAGTCATTAATACTACATATATACCACCACAGAAATTAAAGTGGAAAATTATAGAGACCAAAGAGTTCGAAATGATCATATATAAGCTAGATCGATAGTAAGACCAACTTCAAATACAGAGAGCATTTTTGAACACTTAATTCATCCAAATCATTGTAAGAACAACTTGAAAGCCAAAACATCCACAGCAGCATCTTTCATTTCCGAAGAATACATAATGCAGACTCTAAAAAGATAAAAACCAGTTAATAGGACCCTCTACAAAAAAAAAAAAAACAAATTTGACCTCTGGTTGATGCTTCAAGAACATATAGCAAACATCAGGAAACCCTTCATATCATAAGGTGGATTGGACAGAGCAAAGCATATGGATATTCATTGAGCAGAACAAATGTAGAAATTGATACAGTAAAATTTTTCAATCCCACTTTAAAGTAGAGTGCAATGTTTATGTTGAAGCACAAACAGGGTTACGATACAGAGAAGCTGCGGATAAACAGAACCGGCAGTTTGGCTTGAAGAATAATCAAGGAGCATAAGCTTTCAGCAAAGGAATGATGGTAATACCTTTGTAAGAGTCAAAAGAACAAAGGGACTACCATTAATTTGGCCAAACACGTGTGAAAAATCAATAATAAAAAAAAACAAACAGTTTTTCTGTAAGAATTTTGATCTTAAATTAGGCAAAATAAGGAGAATTAGAAAAGGGAAACAGAGTAGTGTTATGAATAAAAGCAGAACATGGATGAAGTAGAGTATTTGAGAAAGAACTTTTAAGTTTTAACTCTGAATAAACACAAAACAAAGAATCAGTGTTAAACCCACCATTAGAAACAGAAGAACAGATGGGAGAATTCAACGCGTTAGCTTCAGAAACAAGTCTTGGATCATCATCTTCAAGCCGCCATGAGTCTGCAACATTCATGCCATTAATCAAGAATTAAAACCACCATCAAACAGAATAAATTAATCAAAGAAAAAATTAATTATGTGATCTTTTCTCCAAAAAAGATGAACCCAGAATTTCTTTACTTAATGACATCCCACTGTTCTTTGTTTTTTTTTAATCTAACTCCAAAAAAATTAATTAGCAATTAAAGAAACTTATCTGGGTTTTGTGAAAAAAGGTAATTCCATTGTGATAAATAGAAGTGTAAAAATACACCGTTTTCATTCAAATACACCGTCATTTTCATTCAAATACACTGTCACTAGCTCAAATATATGCATTCGAATTTTCCTTCAAAGCAGTAAAAACTCATCACTAAATTAGACGCATGGAACTGGGGGTGGATCTAAGACCATACTTAAACTAACAACCAATTCTAAGCCATCACATTCCTTTATCTCACATAGGAAGATTAAAATAAAAAAAATTTCAATTATGATTCCGCTTCCAAAATCTCAAAGACTAAAACACTAATTGAAAAACAAACTGAGAAATGAGAACAAAAAAAATTAGAAGATCAAAAGAGCTTACGCGACTAGCGTCCGGGTCGAGGCAAGTTTGCGAATTCTGGGAATCAGAAACAGCCTTAGGAGACACAATCAGCGGCTTCCCTATTCCGCCACTGCCGGAACGACTACCAAGCACCACGCGGGGATCGCTGGAGTTGGAAACATTTACAAATTTATCGCCAAACACATTGGAAGAAGCCGAAGAGAACCGGAGGACCTTGGCCAGAGCTCCGACGGGGTCAATTAAGGTAGCATTGCGGGTAAATTGATCGGAGAGCTTGAATGAAGGAAACCCTATACCCCGTCTTTTCTTTTCTTTAGGTCGGATGAAAACGGAGGAAAGAAAGGATGGAGATTGGAGATCATACCTGAATTTTCGAAGAATCGAAGAGGTGAATCGGCTAGATCTGAAAAAGAGAATGATGTGTGACCAATCTGTGTTGAGGGAGGAAGATTACGGGTGCCGGAAGGTCGCCGACGATTGGATTTGAGGAAGGTCGCCGACGAAGGTCGCCGACGATTGGATTTGAGGAAGGTTGCCGCCGAGGATGGATTTGAGGGAGGAAGATTACGGGTAAAAACGGGTGGAAGTAGAAACCTAGGGAATGTTCATTCGGGTGTGTTTACAACACTGGACTCAGTTGGTTTTAGTCAAATTATAATCAAAACAACCGAACTTCATTTAACCGATTGTGACAAAACAAGTTCGGGTCGGTCGAGTCGGGTACAACCCGACCCAATGAACAGGCCTAGATTCACCTATTTAAGAACTATTCACCGCCGTGATATAATTCTCTTACTCAAACTAACCCTATGACTATTTTCGTGACTATAGGGATTAATAAAAGCACATTAAGAACTTTAGAATCTCTAGCTGCAAAGGCGGTGTTCCTACTGTCGTGGCTCACTACCTAAGTTTAATATTCCCATGAGCTAATGTTAATCTTCAACCGTCGTTCCTTCAGTTAAACACCTTTAAAGCATGCAAGTGGTGATCAAATATTCACATGAAATAAAAACAAGAATATTAAATATCAACTAATGAAAAAGTCACAATCATGAATTAAATTAAATTAATTAGTACGGTGGCTACATCCAAAACCTTAGATTAAATAATTTAGCTACACATCATCTCAAAAATAAATAAAACAATGAAATCCGGGAGAAGTAGGCCAAAAGTAGAGTCCGAAGTTGCTTCAATGCTTCCTCCTCTTGGCGATGATGGTGCTGCGCGTGGGGCTTGGTGCGTGGAAGGGAGCAGCATGAGAAGGGCTGGTGCGTGGGGGAAAAGGGTGATTTGGAGGCGTGAGATTGGAAGGTGGACAAAGGGAGCAAGGTGGTGTGGTGGTGCGTGGGAATGGAGGGGGTTGATGATGCGATAATGATTAATGTGATGATGATGAGAGAGAGAGATGGACGGTGATGCGTGGTGGTGGAGAAAGGTGATGGCTGGTGTTCAAAGGTAATGGGGCGGCGGAGGAATTGGGCTTTAGGCGTGGGTTAAGGTGGTGGCTGGGTGGTCAAGTTTTATCCCCAAAAATAAAGCCCTAGTCCTCTTTTTATAGGCTTTCCTCAAATCCTATTCCTTCAGGAATAAGAAAGTTATTTTTTTCAAGCTAATTTAAATTAAAACTCCGCCAACTCTTCAAGTGGTTCAATTTCTTTCTTTGAGTTGCGTTTATCTTCAATTTAGTCCAAAATCTCAACAATTCTTCCATTCAAGTACAAAACCTACAAATAAAGATAAAATCATATAAATAGCACATTTGTACTCAAAATATATTGCAAAAATCACAAATATGGATATAATAAATAGGTAAAATATAAACATAGCAGGCAACATCTAGGTGAGGTTTCTGTAGTATTGTTACTTGAGAATTTATACACATGGATGCATAGACTTAGGACATGTGTACATTACATCAGCTTAGGACATAATGTATATCATGTATATATATTAGTCAGAGAATTCTATGTTATTGTTTATATTATCTATAGTATATTATAAAGGAGAAATTAGAGAGAGAAATTGGTTAATCATTTCTAGAGTGTCACATAGGATGTCATTATTCTATGAATTCAAAATAAATAAATTTTGTGTAATAATAAATAAAGTCCTCATAAATTTAATTAATACAATTTAAGTATAATACTAATTTGTTTAGTATTTTTTCCATACCACTATAAAACATAATATGACTTCTACTTTCATCACCATTAAGATTAAATTCTTTCACAATTTGCACAATATTTAATTTGACATTATATACAAATTTATATTTTGATAGTTGTAAGTAGGTCTTATAATTTATATTTAGTCATATCATCTACACCATCACAACTCATCAACATCATTTGAGTTTGTCACAATTTTATTTTTTTAAAATAATTTTACCATATTGTGTTTAAATAAATCCCGTGCATCCGCACGGGTTTAACATCTAGTAATAAAATACAATAATTTTATCGTAATATTTTTTTATCATTTAACCAATTTAAAACACAAGCTGCCGAACTTGGCTCGAGGCAAACATCTAGTATATATTACGTATGGAAAAAAAAAATGCAAAGAGATCCTTGCTCTTGAAAAGATCTATGCTGATTGAGTAAGGATTAATCTGAATGTGATATGCACCTACTAAACCCGAATGAATAGAACTTGTTTACTAGGTCAGTGGTGCAATTTGGAGTGTAATCGCTTCTTATTTATGTAATTTTTTTTGGTTAACCTTATTTATGTAGTTTCTCCATTCTAAAATAAGTGTCATCCTACACTTTTCACATAGTTTAAAAAACTCTTAAATAGGTTAATAAAATTACTTGAATATCCTCAACCAACTCCATTAAAAAAATATCCACCAATAGTATTAATTCTTTTGAGGGTAATTTGGAAAATTTTGGACAAAAAGTGCATTGAAATGTAAAAACGACACTTATTTTGAAATTTCTAAATTTTACTAAAACGACACTTATTTTGGAACATAAGGAGTAATTTGATTACTATTGATGGGGAAAATGACCATTTGCCAATTTGGTTTTGGATACCATTACCAACCACCCCCCCCCCCCTGTTTCTCTCCTTTGATTCTTCCGCCCGCACATGTTTTATGTATATGCGATCAGAAGAATAGAGACGTAGAGACTCCAGATTGTCTTCAAAATCATTACTTCTTTTCCATTTCTCCACATTTTCTTGCCTTCCAGTTTTATCCACCATCCCCACCTACCTTCATTCTCTGAATATTTTGGTGGTGTTGTTGGTAAGGATAGAAATGGCAAGCCACTACTACTATTTAGAAGTCCACCATGCATTGTTCTAGTACTAATAAGTATTAAATTTGTTTTATTTTTTCAATATTTGTTCTTGTAAATTGCAGCCTCTCATTACCCGGAAGGCCAATTTCCTCACAAGAATTGAAGTCCACGTTCTTATAGGAGGAATTTAATTAATTATTATAACTTGGGGACTGGCCTAATTCCGGCTCCAAATCTAGTCTTTTCCCAACCTTCTAGGTGATGGCGTCCGTTACACCTAATAAATCTCTTCTGAATTACTCCAATCCACGTTCTGGATTGTTCGATTACTCAAAAAAGTCAAATCCCCATTTGGGTTTTCATTTCCAGACAGAAAACAGGGGTATTAGATGGAGGAATCATCTCTCTTTGGAAAGTGGTGGGGAGAAGAGCATTTCTGATAATGCCGTCGTCGCCGGTGGTAAAAAAATCGGCCATTGGAGGAATTTGGAGGATGCAGAGAAAGGGAGGAGGAGGAGGAAATCCGGGGTGGTGAAATCCACGGCGGAGAGGGGTTTGTTCAGGAGTGGCGGCGGCGGAGGAGGAGAAGAAGCTGTGGTGGCGGGGAATGAAATGATGGTGGCGGAGAGGTTCAAGGTGGTGGCTTTGGTGGCTGGAATCATGTGCTTATGCAATGCGGACAGAGTGGTTATGTCGGTTGCTGTTGTTCCATTGGCTGCCAAGCATGGTTGGAGTAGCGCTTTCCTGGGCATTGTTCAGGTACTTCCTACAAATTAACGCCTACCTAACTCCATTCACTTTCCTTTCTTTCTTCTCTTTTTCTTTCCTACAAATTTTCGTAAAATTTTTTCTTTTTTTTCTTTCTGGCATTGTTTTGTTAATTTTTCATTGAGTTAATCAACAAAATCGCTCCTTACTTAGTACTGTTCTTATGGGAAAAATGAAGCATAACACGTTTTTCAGTTCTTTCTCAGATGCTAACTACCTAACCTGTTAGATAGACAGCTGAAAATTTCAACCTGGATTGGTTTATATTTAGTAATTTGTTGAGAGGGATTAAAAGGTTTAGTTTGGATCCACCCAACAAAAAAGTCCACCGGAATTAGTAGCTATTAAAGAGTAAGAAGACAAAACGGTGGGAAAGGAGAAGGATGCGGGGTCATGTGACCGGAAAGCAACTTTTAATGAAGACTTTGTCTGGTTGCTGACTCCCTGCTGATTTGTATATTTTGGCAGGTGAGGTGATGTAAAGTTGTAATTGGTCGTAGTTGTTGGGACTTGGGACTTAAAAATGCCGTTGAAGCACGAACAACTCATTAAAATTATATAATTTATGACGTGTTCGTTGTGATAAAGACTTGGTGTTATAATATCGTCCATCCATCCCCTTTTAACAGTCAGTTTCTTAAACAAAATTAGTATACAAAACAAAATGGATTGTCACAATAAGATGGTTGGAGAATTTCATTACCTAAGACAATTAACACTAATTAACCGCTAACAAATGCTGGTTGTTTAAACTTTTAAATGGATTTGGTCGTGAATTGGAGCAGTCTGTGGTCTCCTAACCTGACAAAGTAGTATTAGTTGCTAGTTCTTGTGTTCATGTGAAACTGCAAAACAACAAAAAGAGAGTTGGTAGGTTGTAGGAAAAGATCCAAGGAATAATAAAAAAATGTCTTAGTTGGGCTTTTGAGTTTGACTGAATTGGTGTGGATCAGGGTTCCTAGGCCTTTCTTTTTTTTTGGGCACTTAGCAATAAACTGATACGGCCACTGGAGTCCATTTATATTTCCCAGGGTAGCTCACCACTTTGATGTTAATTTGTATGCTATTGCTAGGCAAAGAGATGTTACAGCCCCTAAAAAGACTTGCTTGCAGTTTGAATTTTCCCAACGCATTAGAGTGTTGGGAAGTAATTATGAACATAAATTAGAACTGAAGGAGTAGAAATGAGAATGTCGGATGAATTTGTGGGCATAGTAGACTAAAGCATTTCATTTTGCATTTTTTTTTTATTACATTGCCTGTTAAAAATTGTGTTGAAAATGTAAAACAGTGCTTGTAAAATGAGCCGTTAAATGTAAATTGGGAAATAAAACTAGGGCTAAATGGGGGTTTAAGAGGCTTTAATTCTTGTCAACATTTGTATCAACTATACTTCATCATATATGTCCCTGCTCTTTATTCTTTGCTGCAGTCTTCATTTCTTTGGGGATACATACTTTCGTCAGTGATTGGAGGAGCTTTGGTGGATAAATATGGAGGAAAACGGGTGATTGCTTGGGGTGGAGCCTTATGGTCGTTGGCCACTCTTCTTACACCATGGGCTGCAAATCATTCCACTGCTAGCCTCTTGGCCGTTCGCGCTTTCTTCGGCCTTGCTGAAGGAGTAGCTCTACCCTCAATGAACACCCTTTTATCTAGGTATTGCTAACAATTTACAGAAAATGTTCGAGTTTTTAAAAAAATGTATGTTTTGACTGATCACGGCGATGAAATACGAATTAATTTAGATATAGGCTAAGTTGCTGTATATCATTGGTAATTTGATCTGTTTATCATAATGGATAGGTGGTTTCCAAGCAATGAAAGAGCTACTGCTGTTGGTCTATCTATGGGAGGATTCCATCTGGGAAATGTAGTGGGTTTAGTGCTAACTCCTTTAGTGATGTCGTCCGTAGGAATTTCGGGTCCTTTTATCCTGTTTTCATCCCTTGGGCTTCTGTGGTTAACTTCATGGGTATACCGTGTAACAAACGATCCACAAGACAGCAATTTCATTAAAAAAGCAGAGCTGCGACTGATACAAGCAGGAAAATCTGATTCTCCGGCAACCAAGGCCAAGCTTCCACCTTTGGGCCTTTTACTGTCAAAGATGCCCACATGGGCTATAATCTTTGCGAATGTTACTAACAACTGGGTAATGTCTGTAGTAGACTTCAAATCCTTTTCCTGCTCATGTGAAGCATTGTCTCTAGTGCACTCCATAGTTATTACTTATTAGTAATTGTCCTGATATAGTTTTGAAAGTCTAAAGCATACTGTTCAATCAAATGCAGGGATACTTTGTTCTTCTCTCATGGATGCCTGTTTACTTTAAAACTGTGAGTAACATAACCTCTCTTTAATTTTACATTTCTGTTATCCTACTTTATGGCTCTTAGCTGCTGAGAGCTTTCATTTGATCTTTGTGGGGCAAGAGAGGAATATCTCACTAAGGATTTTATTGCGTTGAAAGGATTCCTTATTACTTAGTGGTTACTACTGCCTACTAAACTTGATGCAAGTAGTATTTTGATTATTTAAAAGTAAAGAGGACTAATTGACTATTATTCTGTGCTGAAGGTTTTTGGTGTGAACTTGAAACAAGCAGCGTGGTTTAGTGCTGTCCCCTGGGGAACGATGGCTATCTCAGGGTACATCGCCGGGGCGATGTCAGATTATTTAATCAAAGTGGGGTATTCTTTGACATTAGTCCGTAAAATAATGCAGGTATATACAAGCTGAAAACCAGCCTCTAAAAATAAAGATTGCTCTGAAGGAAAAACAGACATCCTTGCTTGTTTGATTTTTGTTGAAAGAAAATTGTATTTGATGGTCCCACCTCGTTAAAACTACATTATATTAGCAATCACATCTAATTTGTATTATTGCATAACCCCATTAATATCCTCTTTGTGCATCGACAGTCTATTGGATTCATCGGTCCTGGGATATCATTGCTCGCATTGAACTATGCTAAGACACCAGAAGTTGCTGCCATATGCATTACTATAGCCCTGAGCCTTAGCTCTTTTAGTCAAGCCGGCTTCCTACTGAATATGCAGGTAAAGATCAATGCTGGATGGGTCGAAACCCTTTAAACCCTGAAGCAAACTTAATTTTTTTCTTCTGGGTCCAATTTCAGAATGTAAAGCTTTCTATTGCCCTTCAGAATCTAAATAGTACATTTGGTTTTGATTGTTTCATCAGGATATTGCTCCCCAGTATGCTGGATTTCTCCATGGTAAATCTGCATACTGTCTCTTCATTCTTTCTTTGTATCATTCTTCATTAGTGGTCATTGCTTGGGTTTTAATTTGTTCATGAACGAAATTATTTGACAGGGATCTCGAATTCTGCCGGAACTCTAGCAGCAATAATCAGCACAATAGGAACAGGATTTTTTGTGCAATGGCTGGGATCTTTCCAAGCTTTTCTAACCCTCACTGCATGCCTCTATTTTATTACTGCCATATTCTGGAATCTCTATGCCACCGGTGAGAGGGTTTTTTAAGATAAAAACGAAGATTATTCTTTAAAAGCTTATAGTATAGCCCATGAATCCCGATGATTATCCCCCCTTTCCAAATTATTTTTGATATACCAAAATAGAAACATAGAACTTTTTCCCCCACCGCCCTGAAATGTAGTGGTAATGTAAATTTTGTTAGCATCATCAAGCTGGCTAGTCATGATGAGTTATGAGGGCTAAAAAAATGAAGTGTTAGGAAAAATGTAAAAGTCAAGTTTGTTGAATGGATTCAAAGTGATATTATCAAGATTTTTTTAGGGAATCTTTGTATACATATAGTTTATAGTTATACCAGGATGTGACCAAAATGTTCAAGATACTTCATCATATGTGGATGGTTTTGTGTTAGATTACTGGCCATACAAAGATGTCTGCAACATTTTTTTCGGCGAATTTTCTTTGGGACGTTTAATGATTACATGGAGAAATTATGGAGTGGTGATGACAAACTGAGGAAGACTCCATTCCGAACTAGTGTAATGTCTGAAATTATTTTAGGACATTTGTTTTGGTTTCAACTTGACTTCCATACAGTTAGTTTTAGTTTGGATGTCACAACTCACAACTAAGACCAATTGAAAGGCGGCCATTTGGATACAGTATCCAAGCATGTTCTCTTGCCTGAGCTTCGCTGGGTAAATGCTGTAATACCATCATCAAGACATCAATTTGGCAGTTTCATTGTCTGTAAGAGAATGTGCTTAAAAAAATGGTTGGATTTAATGTCATCTGCCAATCTGTAAGCTTCTTACTTATGCTGAACTAGCATGAAAGTTGAAATGTCAATGCGATCTCTGAAAGGGAAATAGTGCAATATTATTAGAACTGAAGGTTCCACCCAGAAATTTCTCCCAGTACCTAATGAGTTTATGAAATTGCACACCAGATTGTACTCATTATCACACATGTTGGAAGAATTCTGTCGTCTAAGAGAGATTTATTTAGGTCGAATGAGTGTTTTTTTAATGAGACGTGTTTATTTAAAATTATCATATAATGAATTTGTGTGTGTGCGTGTTTTTTTTGTACCCTCTAATAGCCTACAATTACAAAAAGATGTTCCGAGGGTAAGACACCCCGATCACATCATGCAAAAGCCAAGACTTTACATCCGATGACGAGTTAACCCATTTTCTCATTTCTCACCCTGTGTATGTCAACGCTGCCAAGGCATCCGCAGTTTAAGTTTTCATTTTTAGTTCAAATTGTACTAAAAGTGAAATTTGAAACTGGATAATAATTTTGGGACGGAGAGAGTATCTTTCAATAACTCCTTATCCGATGTGTGTTTGTTTTTAATTATCTCATTAAGTTAGTATCGAAAATGAAAATATATGACCTTTTACTATTATTTTACAAATTATAGTATCCTCATATCCCAAAAAAAAAAATACCAACAAAAGAAAATGTTAATAAGCAAAGGCCATTTCTGTAGTGTATAAATTTGCAACGATAAGATCATGACCTAGGATACTTCTATTGCAATGAAACGAGGCAAAAGAAAAGAAAACACTAGGATAATTTCAAAGGGGAAAAAAATAAGTAAGAAAGGGCCAAATGGCAAATGGAGAAACAGTATAGGAGGCGAATATGATAATATCAATATCAATCCGAAAACAAGAAGGGGAACTTGGACCAATCAAAACACAAGTTGGGGAGTTTTAGAGGATTTTCTTGCTTGTGTCAACTCAAACGGAAGAACACTATGGGTATCATCTTCTTGTACTGAAGCTACCTTCAAGAAAATATTCGATCCCCTCTTTCATATTTCTCTCAGCCAAAACTTTTTGTCAGAGAACAACCATCTACCTTTTCTACCCCAACATCACCTACCCTTTTTCTGGTTCTCCCATAAATACTTTGCTAACAACCGGAAACATCAGTAGGTGGGAGGGAGAAGTGCTTTTTGCTGTTCTCTGTTCTGTCCCTCCGACCAAATTCTTGTGCACAAAATTCTGGTCAAACCCAGTTGCCTATTCTTCCAGTTTTGATCCAGAATTGGATATTACTTCTTGATATCATATCAGTTGTCAAAAAAAGGAAAGTCGTCTCTGATATTTTTGTTTGGCTGATTCAATTAAAATTCCCAACTGTGTTTGCAAGGCCTCAGTGGAAACAGATTGCTTTTTCTGTCTGAAAAGATTCAATCTTTACTCAAAATTCTGATCTGGGTTGTTGTTGATTGCTTCCCCGAGACATGAATTTTAGAAGCCTGGATGAGTTTTGGCCGTTCTACATGAACCAACACTCGAAGCCAGCCACTAGGCGTTGGCATTTTGTGGGCACACTTTGCAGCTTGATATGTTTGATGTACGCTTTGCTCTTCAATTGGTGGTTTTTGGTGTTGGTGCCCCTTTTTGGATATGGTTGTGCCTGGTATAGCCATTTCTTTGTTGAAGGAAACGTCCCTGCAACTTTTGGGCATCCGTTTTGGTCCCTTTTTTGTGATTTCAAGATGTTTGGATTAATGCTCACTGGTAAAATGGATAGGGAAATCAAGAGGCTTGGTAAGAGGCCAGTTCTGCAGGTATATTAGGTTATTACTTCTCAGTTCTCACCTCATGTAATTCCATCCACTTCATGGGATCTTTTGTGCTGTTTTTCTTTCCACTGAAAATTATGCCTGTAAATTTGATATAAATATTCGTTTCCAAGGCTCCCCGTCACTATTTCTTGGGTTGTTTGATGGTTAAATTCTGGGACGTAAAGTTGATTTTAGCATCAGAAGGGAACAATCCCTGATAGTAACCTAATCAAATGCTAGAATTCGAATGAGTAGAACTTTCATCTTTGAGTGGAGCTCAGTGTGGTTAGAATGAAGCCTCTAGTAGATTGTTACCCTGAATTTGGTTGTGAAAATTGGTAATTTTGACAGAGCTATGTACAGTTTTGCCCAGTTTGAGGCTTCAGTTGATTGGTGCTCGAAATTGGTTGTGCAAGTTTTTTTCATAGCTGTGTTAAGGACAGTGTGATTCCATGATTTACCAGTGGAATAAACCGAACCTGCATGAGTCATAAGCCTAGCGAAAGATAGTTAGCAGCCATTTCCTTCGTTTCAAAGTAATTGGTTATCATTTTTGGGACGGAAGGAAAATGATTTGCAATGTTCTTGGTAAGATGCTCTAGCAAGCTGGAACCACGTCAAGGTCCTACAGCCATGGTAATGAAGAATGTTGAAGCCATTCAGTTTATTTCTTTCAACTTCATATCATTGGGGAATCCCATGATTGAGAATTAGCGGACGAATATTGAGCTTTTTTTTTAAATTGTATTTGAAGTTTTAAACTAGTCCCATAATTTGACATTCGTAGATTGCAGTATAAGAGGCAAAATTATAAAAAAAAAAAAAGGAAAAAAAAGGAGTATGAGCGTGCCGTTTAGATAACAAGTTGAATGTTGAAAATGCTGTAATGTGGAAGATGATGATGATGTTGCAAATACAGTGATAATTATCAAAGAAAATTTGCTTCGACAGGAAATGTGAAATTTTACACCATTATGACAGGAAGATTAATTCTGACGGATCCAAATCCCAATCTATGACGAATCATTGAGCTGTAAACCAACTGATTGGTGTTCTTGTTAAGGATGAATATAGATTGTTCTCACCAGATAAATGGAGCAGCAAAGAGAATTGACAGAGGAAAATGGGCATACTTTCACAAGAAAAATGGGGAAGCAGAGAAAATTCGCAAATTGATCCTAGTCCTACTAAATCTGATAACAAAATCAATTTTTTCTTGTGAAAATCCAAGCAGTGAGTTACATCTGGGGGATTGGGAGAAAACATTTGAATGGAAGCCCCCAACTTCATGTATATTTTCTACATCGACTTGATTTCTGGCAGCATTTTTTCCTAATATGTGATCTGGTCATGAAGAGATTACAGGCGATTACAGACTTGCCTGATGTCGGGATAGGTTAACAGTACTTGCATTTTCAAAATTGTCTTCAACGATCGTGGATGCAGTCAAACATCATAAGTCAGTGTTCCGAGAAAATGATGGCAGTGGCATCCCTTCTTGTGGGCGAAGAATGACAAGGACACCAAACATTCCAAGCATCGGAAGGACTAGCAGCCACTTCAACAGCTTATAATAGTGCATATGAAACGTTAAAGAGAACTCATCTGAGAAATGTATCCCGTTCTTATCAACCATTTCAACCAACACTGTACCAGCTGTCCTAACTCCAACAGTCGGAAGCTTTATTCGATGAGTTCCAGCACTATCAAAGATGTGATTTTGTTTAATCGTCCTTTCTCCTTGATAATTACCAGGAACCAGCAAACTTACCTGTTTACATGCAAAGAAAGTCACTATTTAGCAAAAATTACAACAGAAATAATACATTTCTATGAAGTGGTTGAAACCAGATGTTAGATGCTTAACAGGTATACAACAGCAAGGAAGAAATTACTCACTGTGACATTGTATGGGGCCTGAGATCCAGATGGAAATCTGTACTTATCAACAATCTCTAGTTCAACCCAAAAATTTTTGCCTTCTTCATCCCGAAAAGCCCTAGATGCAGGCGTGACATAGATCCCCTCACGATTGACACGATAGGCAGCATTGTTCCTCCCTTGATTGTGTGACTTCCAAGCCTATAAATGTATGAAGCAACTCAATTTAAGGTGTCAAGCAAGGGAAATACAGTAACTTGTGATCAAACAAAAATGAGTATTATCCTGCCTTAAGTGGATGATGTGGAGAAGGAGTTGAAAAACAGAAGACATTGCCATTCATTGTTGTTACTATGAGATCGAGATCTTCCCCACCATCCACATTGTCAGCCAGGGCCATGCTATATCTGTCCAGTAAAGAACAAAGAAGGTAACAGTATGATAAGAAAGTGTAATACCTCGAAAGTTACCGCAAAAAGAAATACAGAAGAGGATGGCTATCTTACGAAGTTTCACCGATATCGACCACATCAGCACATGAAGTGGGTCCATCTATGAGATATAAATATCCATCAAAGGAAGTGGCAACAATGGTAAGTCCTTTGCTCTTTTCACGCCTTTTGCTCAAGTCGACCAGAAGTAATTGGCTCATCACTCTGCCATGAGTTCTGTATGGATATGGTCTTACAAATGAACCATCCTTGCCACTGAGCACATAAATATTCCCTGATATAGTCGGAACAACGACATCTGTATGGCCATCTCCGTCCACATCACCCACACTAGGCCCCTGGTCAAAAGCAAAGATTATTGCATCACTTAAAAGCTTATCATCTAACCTAGGAAAAAAAAAAGAAGCCGCAAGACAAGACACTACATCCCACCTGTGGAATGAGGCTCTTAACATGCTGTTCCCATATTTCTTTTCCTTGTGGAGTCCACGCAGCCACATTTCCATGGGTATCAGTGGTGACAATTTCGATCTTTCCATCATCATTTATATCGGCTGCAATTACGGCTCCTTGTATCTCAGCCATTTCCAGAGGAAACTTCTCCCTCACTTTGCCTGGGCACTCGCACGTCAATTATAAAACAGCGAATTCAGAATAGAAACTAAAAGCTTTCAGCAATTCAGTGAACGAATACTATCAAAAAAATTCACAAAATGACTATCCCACAGGAAGAGAAAGTTAGTCTAAGGATGTCTCACAGGCTAAGAACTGGACAACAGTAGAGCAGGAGAAAACTCACTGCAAGCAGAATAGGTGGACTCTTCTCAAATGGATGTAAAGGAAGAGAAACCAATGGCAAAGAAAGAATATTAATTTTCCTGGCTAGTGGGTAAGAATCTTCACGCATGGGAAATAAGAAGACAGGGTTTGGCATTTTTATGGATAAGGAGGATACTGCAGAGACAGGCACTTACAAAGTCGAACTTAATTTCAGCATCCCAGTTTAGGTATTATGGGACTAGAAAGACAGAATGTGCAGGAAAACACTTACCTTTATGATCCAGTACATAAAACAAGCCGAAAGAAGTTCCAACAAGAATGTCCAGATTCCCATCACCATCCAAATCAACAACTGTAGGAGAAGAATATATGTAGGCACGAAAGTTTCCATTATCTGTACTTAAATCCAGCTGCGTACTCCATTTAACCTGCTTCGTATCCAGATTGAAGACAACAATACCACCGGCAACATATTTTCCAATGTCAATACCACCAAGATCCTTTGCATGTTCTGGGTTGTCATAATACCTAATAACTTAAATCTGTCAACTTGACTGATTTAACCAGCTTCATGTATTTAGGAATTCATTTTAAAGTAGCACAAAACTGAAACTACAGAAAACTCTTGCCATCAAAATCAGCATAGTGAAACACACTTCTGGGGGTAGAGAAACATAACAAAAAGCCTAGAATAACTTTTGAAAAAACAAGAACAAATCAAAACATATAATTAGGAAAAAAAAAAATAATATTCTACTGAAGAGAGCCACGATGCACGGGGAGACCTTATTTCTCAAGTTCCCCAGAAGCATTGAAAGATTAGAGGCAGCATCATAATACATTGCAGCAACGACAAGAATTTACATCTGTAACAAATTTCCTCCTAAAGGAATCCAGTATCACTTTACGACCCCCAAGAGTCACATTTCAGCAAGTTAGCGAAGCTTAATTGTGTATTGCAATTTACAAGTTTCAACACATAAGATATGACAAGCGCAGCCAAATTCAATCTGCAGGGAATATGATTTCAGGTTATTAATCAAACATCAATCAAAAACATGGTACAACAGGAAAGAGAACAGTGGTCATTATAAGAAAACAATATGTTACAAGTAAATCATCATCATTACTTAGGGATCGGAAATAACAGAGGAAAAGTATTTACTAACCACCATTAGCAGCCCAAATTCACACCATAGGAAGCATAATTTAGTTTTAACCTTAGGAGAGCAAAATAACTTAAGTTGTTTTGCTACAGTGACAGACATACAGCAATTTTGTCAATGTAAATTAAATATTAGGCCTAAGTCTTTGCAACGATACCGAGGTATCATGCAGTAAAACGAAAAAAAAAATTTTGGAACACCCTATGTTATATAACGGAAACTCACTCGTGATCAAAGAAGTAAGAGACAGCGACAACCATCTCTGAGATCCCATCATTGTCAATGTCTGCTATAACCTAATTAATGCAAAAAAACTTAATAAATGCAAAGAAACAGACCTGAATATACTCAAGAAGCTTTCATGCTAGAACCTTACCGGAGTGCACAAAATATGTGCGTCAATATGCACGTAGTTTTCTAATTTCTCATGTTCTGCCTCAGTCCACTCCTCATCTCCCCACAAGTTTTCATCAACATAATCATCATAGTCGTAACTATATTCATCAGCCAGCTCATCAGAGTCTCGGAATAATTCAAATGATGAATCGGCTTCCGTTTCCAAACCTTCCTCATTTTCCACAGTGGCAGTATGTATTTCATCGTTGCTTTTGGCTTCAGATTCAGATTGATGATCATTAGAGTGTTTTGCAACATCTTCTTCAAGAAGTCTTCTTCCTGTCTTAGTTTCATTTACATCAGCAGCTTTGTCCAATCCAGCACCCGATGAATTGCTACTTATATTATTTGGCATTTGAATATGAGCATCTGGTTGGCTGCTATTACTTTGTTGCTTATTTGTTACGTCAGATGAGTTAGATGTGTCATGAAGGTCTTCTGTCACCACAGGGTTTGAAGAGTTGGATGCTTCAGGGTGAACTTCTGATGTATTAGGGTTTGAAGTGTTCAGTCCAACAGAACTCCCATTGTGATCTACAAAGATTTGAATAAATCATCCAGCCAATATTATAAAGGCAGACATATTAACATTTTAGGAAGGAACTGATAGATCCATTATAATTATCCAACAAAAATGCCAATATGTCAGAAAGTCAAAATCAAATTCTACATTTAGAAGTAACATAGTGTCAAGACTAGGCAAAAGGAAGACAGGAACCCCAAAAGAAAAAATGTATCTATCTTTTAGGATAACAACATAAAATAAAAAAGGATCAAGGAAAGATATCCCACTAAAAGACACATCTGACCATCAGCTGTAAAGTAATCCAAACGGTTGGAAATGAGCATTAGAGATGTTTACCATAGATCAGAAGTTTTAAATTTGGTCAGATATGAAACGTGATGACGCAATGAACTTTGCAATTAATCAAGGGCGAAGAAGGAAAAGAAAGTTGAACGAGAAACATAAAGCTGACAAAACAAACACCAATTTCGCAAGGATTACAAACTAATTTCTTAAAGGGAGCAACTTACGAGAAATTGATTCTATAAGAGCTTCCTGCACAAGAAGGTCATCATGAACATCTGGGTGAGAACGGTCCACAGGATCGTCATGCAACCCCACATACCAATCTTTTTTCACTTTTAACCTAGGAATCTCTAGCTTGTCTGACATCTTGTAGCCTGAAACCCTATAGAATTATCAAACCAGAAAGTCAGTCATAATTGCTTCAAAAGATTTTTTTTAAAAAAAAATAATAAAAAAAAAAATCAGACATAAGTAGCACTACCTGAAAAAGAGCACCTCGCCATTGTAGGTTGCCAAGACAATCTCTCTCACACCATCCTTGTCAATATCATACAAGAGAGGACTGGAATGGACAGTTGACTGGTGGAAGGCAGGCCATCCTGGAAAATTAGTGCAAGCAACTTTAAAAAAACTGAATGAATTGGACTACAACAAAGTCAAGAAATTCCCCTGTTGTAATATTTCTGAAATATTTGATAAAATTACATTGTCAATCTAGGTTAATCACACATACCATAACATCATCAAAACTAAAACCAAAACTGCAAATTCACCTGCCATCTTATCTCCATCAGAGCCTTCCAGAACTTCCAAATAGTGAACAAAAGAAGGAACCACGACTTCAAGCTTTCCATCGCTGGTTATTAATCACATAATCAACATTCACAGAGGAAAGGCAGAATAGTAAGCATCAAACAACCATTTACCATATAAGATAAGCACTAATTTTAATAGCCCAAGGATAATTCCTCCAAATACTGGAATGCGGTAGAATATACTGCCAATCGAGTAGTAGTAGTACAGAAATTCTTATGGTAGCTTTGATAAACACAAACGTACTTGATGTTTCTTTTACCTGTTAATATCAGCAATCAGTGGTGTGGCATAGATGCTAGAACTGACTTCCGTTTGCCATCTGAGCTCTAATTGCTGAGGACACTGAGTATTGAGTAAATCATTCTCATCCCTACGAATTGTTGAGCACCAAATGTTACTTAAAAATCAAAACTTTTTTTTTATTTTTTTTTAATCAAGATTCCCAATTTTACAGTTGCAAAAAGTCGATCAAACAAGGTCGGGAAGAAGTGACACACAGTCAGATACGAGTATAAAATTCAAAATCGAAAACACTTACAAATTGGGATAACCGAGCGAATCATCGGTAGCCTCGCGCTCCCGGAACTTGTTCCCCTTCGTCTCTTCCGATCGTAAAGTACCAAAATTGAGATTGAAGAGTAAAAGGTAACATAGAAAGAAAACCCTAGACTTCATGGAATTCTGATGCATTAACTTGAAACTGAAATTTCCGGTATAGTTGCGGAGCTGACGATATATGTTCTTAAGCTTCAGCGGAAATTGCTGAAGAAAAAGAAGATCAAATACACAAATCAAAACCGAATATCTACCGGAAGTGAAGAAATTTCGAGAATATATAATACACAACTAATTACAATAGAATTGAAGAAGTAGGAGAGGAGGAGGAAGAAGCATTTCTCTGATAATTTTTGCGGAATAATAAAAGGTTGACTAACCCGTCTTCTTCTTCAGTAGCACTTTCACTTAAAGGTCCTCGCTCTTTCTCGAATTTCATATTTGGCCATTCCTTAACCTGGTCTGGATTTATTTATTTTTTTTTTTTTTAAGGCAGCACATATTAGTGCTTCACTGGTGCCCAGACTATTACTACGAGGATAGAGACTACTTGATGAGAAGGTAGTACTGTAAAAAGGGAAACTCTACTTACGTGCACCTCTTATTTGGTGTGTCCGGTCCTCCGTAGATGATGATGACAGGCCTTCTATCTACTTAAATTAGTCGCTGATAAGGTATGATGCCCTAACCGCTGATAAGGTATGATGCCCTAACCATCAGGACACGACTCGATTTTTAATTGGTTTGGATCAAAAGCTCAAGAAATATGACATCCGTTTGTGTACATGTAGTGTCTTTTTATTATTCTTTTCTTTTTCCAGACAAAAGAAAAAAATTGGAGGAAACTTTTTATTTGTGATAAATCTTATTTTGGAGGACAAAGAAAAGAAAATGCTGGAATTACAATATATTAGAAGTCTAAAGGGTTACCAATGTTTTTGTTATTCTTCTTATTAATTTCAAATAGAAGATTCATTTGTATTCTGAAAAAATACACACTTGAATTGATCAATTAAAGAGACTGGAAGTTAACAATATTAAGGATATTAACCCTTTGTCCTAATTTTCAACTCGCTAGTCACACTCTACTCCATTATGCAATTAATAACATTTGATCAATTTTTTTCAAGACTAACTGACAGTTTTATTTCTGAACGAAAGCGAGGTTTTTTCCACAAAAAAAAAAAAAAAAAACCTTGGTTGAAGCAGTGACAAAGAACATTCAGGTACTGTCTCCAGTAATGAAGAGATGAATGAGATAAAGCTCATATAGTTTTCACATAAATTCATCAGACATCAGCGATCACGTTAAACTATATATTAATCAGATATCAGCAATCAAGACTTACATGCTGACAATTACGGTGTTTACATTTAACCGGAGAAGACCACTTGCAGTTGAATCCACTCATCAAAACATTAACAAGTTCTTTGCTCAACCAGCTTCGGCATGCGTTTTGCTGTACCAATATCATGCCGAATACACTCAGAAAAAAGAAAACAAGTTGGATCCAACTCAACCGAAGTTAGGAACTTGAAGGCGAGCACAAGCACAAAAAAGAGAAGAGTTCCAAGGCAAAGATCACTGCACATACACGAAAAGAAGTCTATTGCCTAATAAAATGATCATATTTGAACTATATTCACAAAATAACGGCGTTCAAATACTGGATCAACTATCCTGAAAAAAGGCTACTTCTTATCAGCATAATATCAAAGGCTAATCAAAGAAAGCTATGATTTCAACTAATATACAGGGCATCCTATAACTAAACCTTTTCGGCCACCATACTTGCTCCAGGAAACCGATCTTTCACAGTTCTACCCTAAATATATGCTGGACACACCAGGATCCAAATAGCCAGTGAGCATGGTGAATCAGAACCATCAGAGTGGAGTCGCAGCAACCTTTCTGTTACAACCCTCCTGTTATGGCAACTTTGCAACTCAATAAACACTGAAGGAAACTCAAGTCGAATATGCTTTCATTAAATTCCATGCCAACTAATGTTTTCCTGCCGATTAATTCAATCCATCCTTGTCACCTACGCCTTGCAGAAGGGTGGTAATGAGGTTTGCTGTCTCTCTGTATCCGGTCAGCGTACATTGGCAGCTGAATGGTTTCATTAATCTCATCCAATAAGATCTCTTGGGTAATGTTGTCCTTTATACTTCTCATCACCTGTTAATTTGTCAACAAAAGTGTTCAGCAACCCAAAGTGTTGCCATCAAGAACAAGATTAGCCTGATTTTTTCGACATTATAACACCAAAATCTTCATAAGCATATGATTGTACCTTCCTCTACTGAGATAGAATGAGCAAAAGATTGTACCTTCTTGTAGGTGTTGAATTCGTTGGGGTTTCCTTTGTCAACTCTAACTCGCATGAATCGCCAAACCTTTTCTTCAGCTTTCCAAGTGCACTCAATGATTTTGCCCGAGTATGATTGGGGATCAGAGCCATCTGCGTTCCAAAAGAAGCTAAGGGCATTGCACGAACCAGATAATTGGATAACGGAAAAATAAAAATTTAGCCCAGTAAGGTCAGCTACATAAAATTATATGTTGCAATAAGTAATGTTAAATCACGTTTTCCAGTTAAGTTCAAATTTTCTTAATATGGAAAAGTTCCCCCCAACAAACTTTAGGTCTGCTCCCCTTTCAATTTGAGTTGACCATGAGTATTTGGATAAAACAAGCCTGAAGAAAACTTGGAGTACTAGATGATTTTAGGAATCAACTTCCCAAAAAGTAAAGAATTATGCAGCTCCAGAGACTAGGACATGAACAGGTTAAGACTACTAAATTGGCACATAGAGTAATCAGAGAAAAAATATGCTACCATAAGCTGAGATGTGAAAGAACAAAACAGAAGGATTACAACTTCCATTTGTAAGTCACCAAGTTTGAGCACCAAATAGAGAAGACAACTCAAATACACCTAATCTGTCAGCACATTGATATGTTAGGGCAGTTGATTAGCACACGCAAGCATTTATCAATCATGTGAAGCTTTTCATAATATCTATTGCATATTAGTCCCCATATATTATAATAAAAATCTCCCTTATTCTTCTCTTCTACCAAACAGGAAACACAATGTTATACTTAAAATGTAAACATTCCTCAATAATTCAGACAAGAATCCACTTATTATTGAATAGGACAGAAACCTTGACATCCATCATGTTTACCAGAGAAGTAGAACTGGAGTCCTAGTTTCAAAAACCAAGCTACAATTCCAAATGAGGCAAACAAAACCAATAACGCATGATTTATTTCATGCATGTGTAAACTATAGTATTGATAAAGAAAGAGCCAGAGAAGGAAAAAAATATCTCTTGCAATAATAAGTAAAAATCACCAACCTTCAAACACAACGGCATTGCCTTCCATCAATTTCTTCCGACCCCGTTCATGAAGATAAAGATGATGACGATTATCAACCACCTACACAATAGGGAAGGTAGTGAAAATCTAAATCATACAAGAGCTACACCAATATGATAAATGTAACTTAAAAGGACAAAACAGCACCAAAAATAAGTTTGAACAAAAGAAATGCAACCTCGAAAAGGAAATCAACCGAATTCATTGATGCATACTTCCACTTCAAGAGACCCTCGTGCGTACGCGGAACATAAGGGTCATCCCAACCCTGTTCCAAGCAAGCCCAAAAAAAAAAAGGTTATTAGCAAAAATGTACGGATCGAACAGCCAATCTGCGCATAACACATACTTAAGTAGACAAATGTCAAGTTACATCAGTAGTAACTGTGAACAGCAATAAATGAGCAATAAAAGAATTGAAACCATACTGTCAACATGGATATACAACGTAGCACAGCTATTCAATCTCATATAGAAGAATCCAGATACGATAAATCATGAATGTTGAATTACTTCCTCACATCATGAGCTAGAATGAGCAGAGTCATGAAAATAAGTGACCTCTGATGAAATTTATATACACAGGTGCCTCGATGCATGATCAAACTAAACCAGATGTTAACAAAGTAATATGTTATTCTAGATTGAATCTTATGCACCTGAAATATAAGACCATCGGCATCATGGGAAAGCTTTGGAATGAACTCCTTCAAAAGTTTGTTCACAGTAGAAAGCGGCCAAAAGTCCTTCCTCCTCACCTATAACGGTAGCCCATCGGTTAGCAGTTCCAGCAAATGGCAAAAATCGATACAAATCCTGCTCCAGAAAATATCTAATTCAAAAGGACATACCCGGAAGGGTTCAAGCTCGTATCTATAGTTGGGATTTCTGCTCTGATAAATGTGTTGACGTTCAAAGTTCCTTGGTTCAATTATTTCTTTCTCCAGCATTTTCCAACGTTCATAAAATGGTCGCTGCATGAGAAACGTCATGGGTCAACTAGAAACACAACGTATTGGTGAAAACAGAAGTAAAATGAACTACTTTAGCTCAGCGGATAATTACTTCACCAATCCTACCTCTATAATAGAGAGTGAATTGAGCGCCATCATATCATATATCAAGTATCTCCTTTCTTGTTTTCGTGAGTCCGGTACAGTGTCGATTACCATTTCCCCATCAAGTAGGGTGAAGTGGTGGGTCCTCTCACCTAGGCCCTGATGCCATGTGTAAAGATAAGAAACTTTTGCAACAATGAATCGCATAAAGCAGTAAATAACTAATTTGATTACGTACTTCATTATTATTTCTGGAAGGAAATCTCATTTGAACTCGCCGAAAATTGAAGTGCCTATCAATTAAGTAGCATCCATCCATTGTAATTAGCATCATGTACCGAGTCCCATCAGCTTTCCAGGTAGCGTAGTAATAGCGTTGCCTCAACAACTTTACATTCTCACTGCATATACAGAGGTTGTCAGATATTCAGACAGATTAGAGACCGAAAACAATTCAGTAAAAGAGCGGAATGTATAGCGAATGAGAAAGCATTTTGATCCCGAATCGCTCTTTCCAAAACATGCAATCAATTAATACTTGGAAAACTGGGAAGAAAATAGAATTGAAAATATGTATCTTTCACAAACTAAGAAGGTTCTATACAGTTGTCCATAACAAAATATGTTCTTTTTATTATCGGAAGGGCTGCCTTAATGTAGTTCCGGTAATGCCGATTCTCATTGATGGCTTGATGGCCAACAAACTATGCAGCCAGAACACTTAGTTCTGGGAAAATTTTTATTTTAAGTTTTTTTGAGTAATATGTTCTGAAGCACTGTTAATGTACCCGGAAGGAAGGGGGTGGGGGGGAAGGACGCCACCCACACAAACAAAACCCACAAATAACCCATTTACCATTGTCCCCAAACAAACTGAAACAACATTATCACAGGTTAAAAAGAATGTGGATGGGACCTGTCAAGAGAAACTGGATGAGACCCAGGAAACTGTGAGTACCCTTTCCCCTGGAAATATAGAAAGTTGAAAGTCAGCGGCATACAACAGATTTACTCAAATCTAAACTGCAAGCCAGAGCTCCCCAAAGATTGATATTGCATCTGTGCTTATCAGTTAAATGAAAATACAATTCATCTACACAGAAATGTTGAAGTAATACCCCTGCGGGCAACTTTAAGATCTGATAACAGAACTGCCTAAGTGCTTCTTGTTGCTCCACGGGTATACTATCCCCTAGAACATCATCATTTGTCAACACAACGTCTGCATCATTATTAACCTGCAAAATCCAAAACCAAAGATAAAAATGATTTAACATTCATAAATAAGGTCATACTAGAGCATGGATAATCTAACTGCAGAATTAAGCATTAAAATTCATTATTTGGTATCTGATACAAGTTTAAGAGCATCACTGAAACAATTCTTGCCTCCTTTAGCAACATAACTTGCAGAAACAAGAAAAACCATCCTTGACGTTCAAGTTACAGCTTCTTGGATTAATAAAGATTATCCAGAATTCAACGATAAGCAAAGCCAAAAGATTATTGCAACAACGACATCAAGCAAAGTATAGAGCTATATCAACGACAAACTAGAGGTTTGAATTTAATAATGTATAAATCAGCTCATAAACTAGTCATAAAAGACCAGCCGCTTAGGAAATGGATTAGTTAAGAGCTGATCTACAGATTTTGCCACCTGTCAGCAATGAAAAAAGCCTCCAAAAAAGGTTGACAAGTAAAAAAGAGGAATAGCCTTCTTATCTTTCACCCCGAAAAGATAACACAACAAAAGAGCAAAGAAACAACATACAAGAGGCAACGCAGCAGAAGCGCCATCTTCATCATCATCTGGCATCGCATCACCATTTAAATCAAATTCAGTGGACCTTTTCCAGTCTGGCGTCGGAGGACAAACGACTGTTTCCGGTTTTTTTTCATGATAAAAGGCATACAGTGCGTCGATGTAATCTGGCTTATATATCCCTGGGGGGCGTGCATCAGCGAACACTTTGATAGCCTGAACCCAACCGAAGATAACTCAGATCTAATATTAGATCCATTGTTTGGGGGGGTGGGGGGGGGGGTGGTGGGGCATTGCGATACAGATATCAGATATTAACCAAACATACCTGACTAACAGAAATTGGCGAAGTACGCATGAGGTAGTGGATTATCATGAATCCGGTACGATTATGGCCATGCGTGCAGTGGACCAGAATGTATTTCTTTGCATGCTTTTGACGAGCAAGAAACTGCGAAACCTATACAAGTGATAAATTAAAACAATTATACTAAAGCATGTAACAGAAGAATCCCTACAATAGCATATAGAAGACAATTTGTAACCTGAAAATTCTATGTTCTCCCTACGGGGCAAATTATAATGAACAACACTCACAGTCAGTTGCCCACTGTGCCTTCAGTAATGCATGTTGAAGTATGAACCAAATTTGATACCCACAGTTTCAAGTTACCATGAATCAGTGACTAATGCATGTATACATTTGAACTACACCTTAACCAACTTACCTCATACACAAATTGATTGACAGACTCATTGTCGGGTACAGAATCACGCCCCTTGCAAGCAATCTGCTAGCAATCCAAAGCGCGTAATAGAATTAATAAGATTGAAGCAGCGATGTCAGCTTTATTGAGCAATATTTAGGGGTAAAAAACTCGCCTTAACATGCTTTATACCATCTTTCTTCAGATCTTGCAGCGAATAGTATCTATTTGTGTTTGTCAAATCGATTACCAACCCAAGCTGGACATGTCAATAAAAAGTTCCAATGGATCAATTTCAGTTGGTGAATCAAAAAAACACACACACACACACACACACACACACACAAAATGGATATATTCGAATTAAAAACAATGAGTAAAGCCGAGTGCAATGTGTTGAAGTTTAGATAGGTCAGTTAAAATACAAGCCTCTTAAACAAGATACAACTTTATCCTATGCAGAAATGACGGTAAAGATGTTGAAGTCCAAAGATCCAACCTTTCTTGACATAACTCTTTGTTGATGTATCACTTGTCTGAATGAGTACCTTTTACCAGGAACAATGGCATCATTAAAAGCTTCACCCAAGGGAACTTTTGAAGGTATGATGCAACCTATTTCTTTACCAACTGCTGGACAATCCAACCAACCTGTAAATAAGCGTCAAATGGAATAAATTATACAATGATTGGATAAAAAAAAAGCGAGATTTTTTATTAGCATGTCAAACAAAAAAGAAAGTAGAAAAAATAATATATGGGGCTACGAACTTCAAGAATCTGCAATCCATTAAAGACGGGTCTTTGAAAACAGAAGTTGTAACCTGTTCGAAATCTCTTTTTACTATCAAACAAAAATTAAAATTTTCTACACCGCCCCTCTCCTCCCCAATCTCCCAGGGATAATCCAGAAGGGATAGAATGCCAGTGCACTTGAGGGGGTAGGCAAGAGCCTTAGTGAAAAATGAATACAGTAACATAAATCTTCTCATCGATTACCTTGCGGGAGTCTACTGGAAGTTTTCTGTCGTTTAGGTTGAAACATATCCGCATAATTAGCTTGCTGTGATGCATATTGCACACGATCATCTACCCGTTGATTTCTCAAGCGCTGGATCCTTTCTTCACGTTCCTAATCAGCGATAACAGGAGGAAAAAAAATAGCAACAAATATTTAGCAATCTAAAGCAGATACACGAAGTCCAATAACTTGGACATGCAGTGAACGTGAATGAGTCACAAATATTTCCAAATTTATTCATGAACTTGGACACGGTGAAGGTGAATGAGTCAAAAAAATTTCCAAAGTTATTCGCCAATGAGAGTACGGAATCCAAAACCAAAGCCCAAGAGATTCTTAATGCAGAGGTTTTAACACTTCATCATAAAATATCTCGGGAAACAATTCGACGAGAAATAAAACAAGCCATCCCAATTACACAATATGAAGCAAAACAATACTGCCTTCCAGTAGACCAGAATTTCCAAGGTCTTTCACAAATCTGATACCTTCAATATGAATTGCAGGAGAAGATGCAACGCCAAAAGCAATATGTATTTAAAGGGGCAAAGAAATCATAAACAATATTTAGGTCTTTGTATGAGAAAGAGGTACCCGGCGTGAAATCTGAGCTCCACTCTCCCCAAGTTCCGAACGATCATTTTGGTGAAAATGCTCGTGTACATTGTCTTCTGCTAAATTTGGTTCGAAAAACTCCTCATCCTCTTCAGGCTCCGGAGAGGCATTTAAGTCCATACTAAAATGGTTCAAGGAGAACCAAGAAACATCGGTGAAGAACCCTTGTCAATTTATTACCTAAACAAGAAAAGTAGAAACATAAACTCACAAATACTTGTACAAGAAACTCCACATGAGCCAGGAAACAGTGCCACAACACCTCAACAAGCGAACAAGAACTAAGCAGAAGTGAAACCCTCCCATTAATAAAAGCATTGGAAAATGATAACTAAAATGTCTATCAAAATGAAAAACAAAAAGAATCATTAATTATAACAAACAGTATACAGAGAACCAATCGATTCTTCTCTTAGACCAAAAAACAAAAAAGGAAATCCATCAAAAGAAATATAGACAAAAGCAAAGAGTGTCTGAAAGATCCAGTTTCATTTATGGTAAATCATTCAAGTTAATTTCAAACACTTGGGAGCGGAGTGGAGTATTACACGATGGAGAACTCTCAAAGGGCTCCAAGCAATTTTTTTGAGTTGGAGTGACGTAAAAAATAAATAAAAAAAAGAAAGAAAGATCAGAATAATAAAACTCATTAAAGAACTAACTTCAAATGAAAATCACAATTTGTAGAAGAGCACGTAGCGTGACAAGGCAGGCGGGCATACAAAGAGAAAGAAAATCGCACCGACAAAACAAAACGGTAGAAAATGAATGGCCAAAATTTACCGACGCAGACAAAATGTTCAACATCACTTATTACACCCGTTCCTCAGACAAGGCTCTTAATAAGCGCCGTTGAAATGTCACCTTCCTGTGAGCTAACTAAGAACTACACCAAACACGTCATACAGCTCAGATGGCGGCTCACCGCCAAGCGCTTCCAGAAAAAACTTTCCAAACTAGTATGCAATTGAAAAACGTGCTATCAAGAAATTATTTGATAATGTGAGTAAACACGAGCAACATACTCACAGACACGTGTTAGCCATCCTAAGCATTACACTTACGTAAATCCAGTAGTCCGTAAGAGCGACAAAAAAGTCGACCCTTCACCAATCAGGAATCACGAAGGCCAAAATGAAACATTGGCAAAAAGTAAACCCTAACTGTGTTTCCCAGACAAAATGAAACGGGAGAAAGAGAGAAAAGACTCATTGCAGTTATGCAATAAATGTGCAAAAGAAAGAACACAATGGAACTTGCTATTGCAATTGCAAACACTGGCAAAAGATCAAAATTGCAGCAGTTAAAAGAAAATCATAAGACTCCCACTACACCATTACATCAAAAACTCCCAACTTCATTGACTCTGATGATTTTAAACTCAAATATCTTATGCAGCCAAAGACATCTACAACTCAGTTCAATGGAAGCATCCAATTCAGGGCACCATGCAAAAGATTAGTTTTGCAGCCCACACACAACAGCTATTGCCAATTTGCATTACAATGAATCCCAAAAGCATTCCATGCAAATGAACGTACAGACCAAGTAAAAGCCAAACCCTATTTCAACAATTACAAATTACATTAAGATTCTAAAACCACCAATAACTAACACCACAACACTTCCCAAGGAAAGTAATAAACAAAAATTCCACCATGATAGCAAAAATATATTCACCTCTTGTACAGTAAACCTCCAAACTGCAGCAGATATTTTCTCTGCCAAAAAAAAAAAAACACAAACGAAAAAATAAACCAGAATTAGCTTCGACTGAGAAAAACAAAATAATTCAGAAGAACTTCAATCCTGGGAAGTGAAAGTACAGCTCATAAACCCTACAGAGAGAAATTTTAATAAGAGTAAGCACAAACGAGCAGGAAAAAAAGATCGCCCAGGGGCGATTCAGCTTTCTATTAAACCCCCCAATACGTCCAGCTTCGGTCGTACAAAACAAAAATTCGAAATCATAAATGAGAAGGAAAGGATAAAAATTTCGGATAAATTCACGCCAGTGTGTGAGTGCGTGTAAATTGAGCGGCGAAATCAGTAAGCGGTGGACGGAGGAGGAGGTGGAGGAGGAAGAATACCTTGACAGAGTAAGTGAGAGAAAGACAGAGAGAGAAGGGCGAGCTCGTGAAGGTTTCGGTAAAGGGGGCAAAAAAAGAAAATAAACAAGCGGGGCAAAATTGTCAAAGAGCCGGCATTTAACGGGACGTCAAAAAGACGGGAAAGAGAACTACTGAACTAGGGGAGTGAACAATGGGGGGGGCTCCTTTTATAGGGATCACGGTTACCGTCACGGTTGACAGGTGGATTTTTCAGTCTTTTTTCGTATTTATTTTTTAATGTGCCATTATCCTCCCCCAGGGGAAAAAAAACATAAAATTTGATCTGACGTACGAACACTACTACTTGAACTACTCCTCTTTAGCTTCTAAAATCTAAAGTGATTTTTCAGTTCAGTTTCTCTTCTACTTCTTTGCACCGCACCGCAACTCAACTCTTCTAGATATGCACATCACGTCATATTACACTGCTGGATTTTATGAGTAATTCTTATTATTACAGTTTAATTACCGTGATCCTCTTAAAGTTTTTAAAACTACGAAATGCCCCCTACAGGTTTAGGGAAGTGTTGGTCATGTCTTTTTGTTTTGTCATGTGTAACTGTTTTGACCCTGTAATCGAACTATTATAAGAAATCTAATGAGATAATTAAAGTGGATCAAAGAACAATAAAAATGTCACAAATCACTATGTACTTTATTAAATGTAACGTGTTATATGTATTTTAGTGAGATGTAATGATTAACGGAAAAAGATAAAAATGAAGTTTCTATTGTATTGTTATATATCTATATATCAATGCATTCTGGAAAAAAAAAATCGAATGTTAATAAGTATTTGATCATATAAGCACGGACTTTTTTTTATTTTGCCGAGGAAGCGTAATAACTACGAAGTTTGGGGTTAATATCTATAATTATCAAAATCTTGTGGGAGGTTGGACAATTAATCGTACGAATGAATAATTTTTTAATGACAGATGGTGATGATGATTTATGACGGAGGAGGAGGTGGTTGTGTGCTAAAGTGAATACCATAACACATCCTAGGAGGTTCAAAAGTTGACTGCACAAAGCCACGACAACCTTGGATTAGAATCCCACAATTGTCACCGGAATCTATTTAATTACTATATTATTTTTAGAAAACCTTATCATACCGTACTATTATTTGGGTAATATTATTTGGGTAATTTTCTTTCAGTAAAATCACTAATCTGAGTTTTTGTTGTTTTGTTTTCCATATTGTGATCTGACAATTTTTACTATTTTCATTATTATGAGACGAAGGAATAATACATATTCGTTGATTATCGCTTATTTATTTATAGAATTAAAGTTACAAGATTATAAAAACTTTTTTTTTTGTAAAAACAAATGAACATTTTTCTTACCTCATTTCACGTGTTTATTTTTTTGGTTACCAATCTTTTGACAAAAGACGTTATCACTATTCGTAAAGCGGTTAAAATTAAAAATAATATCTTTCCTCCCTTACCGTCCCAAATATACAAAATTCATAACAAAATTGAGTCCGAATTAATGCCAATTTGTGAGGCATCGCACACCTATATTTTGTTGCAAATGCAATGGAGTAGTTGGCAATAACAAAAGCTAATGTCATATACACCGCTACACAAAATCCCAGCAGCGGTAGCACGACACTGTAAGAAAGAAAAAAATTGAGTTAAATGGTATAATAAATGATATATATAATTTAAAAAACAATAAAATAAGATAAATAAAATTACCCTTTATCATCCATTAATCGTGATGAGGGATAAATTATGATTTAGAGCATTTTCATTTATCCAAATCCTGTCAATACTTGTTCTTATTATCAAACAAAGCCGGGAATGAATCTGAGAGTTTATACTAAGAAGGTAATGGTGCGATGCAAACAAACGAACACAAGTATTTCTTATCAACACTTGCACCCCCTATTGCTTTTTCAGTACTTGTTTTTTTTTTAAAACTAAAATTATGTAATAACACGAATAATTAAAATACGATGGAGTACCATTTAATTGCCATAGTTTTAAACAGTGACGGAACCAGCCTTCCAAATTCGGGGGCTGGCCGCCAACTACGTTTGTGATGAGACAAGAGAAGACAGTCAGAGGCCGTACAACCGCTATTTGTTTGAAATTTTGAGCTGAATTGACATCAGCATTGGTTTCAATGGATTTTCCTGTGTTTATTTTTTCAAATGATTTTGTTTTATTTTGGAGTAAGAAAGCGTTCGAAGAATTGCTAATCAAAGTGTGCATGTTAGTGGATTAATTTCTGAATAAAGAAAATAAAATCAATAATATATCGAGTTGGAATGGAACATAAAATATAGTGGGCTAAATTCTGAAAAATAATAAAAAGAAAACAAATTGGACTAGACTGCAGTAAGAATTTAAAGGAAGTTTTAAGAAACATTGTTGTTTTGGTAGTGAAATTTCAGAAAAAAATAAAATAAAATTAAAAATCACAACATGTCTTTTTTCTCCAACCCTCTGTCTTTGAAATTTGAGAGGGCTGAATACACTACCGGAGGCCAGCCATGAGAATCCTAAGGGGATCTCTGGCCATCTGGGGGATCTCGAAATCCCCAACCCCCTTAAGGGTTCCGCCGCTTCTTTAGAGTTTAGGGGTAAAAAGAAGAAAAAAGTGTTGCATACGAGCTAGTTTGGTTGGTAAAATACGAGCTAGCTTGCTGCTATCTGCTAGACTGCTACTGTCCAATTATATTTTTTAACCATGAGTTTTTGGATTAAAGGATAATTTATAATTGATTACAAAATTTAAAATTTGAATAATATAATTGTATTGTCTCTATAAAATGATGTACCAAGCCGTAAATCGGATTTCAAATATATCATTAGTCCTATAAATATAACTATAATAGATCGAGTGTAATTGAACCTTCTTTGTTGATGATATGATCGCTCTAATTTTTAAGATTACTTATTTAAGGAATCGACATATGTCGTTATGTACCATAACTTTTTCGATCATGAAATATGTATATTCTAAAGAATTTAGGAAGTGATCGAAATAACAATCTTAATATCCCTCCCAATAGGTACGAAAGTTATCATAGAAATTTGAGAGTTAACAATAGAGGTTGTGAATTGCTAAACTATAATATATTCACAAATAATTGCAATTACTTATTTACATTACAAGAGTTTCTCCCTTTGGCAGTGCATACTATATATATTGGGTTATGAATTCATTATAATGGTAAAGCCCAAACACGACATCTATCATTTTAGTTTTTGTTGCATGTAGCTCATCAAGGCCTTGCTAGCATCAATATACTCTTTTATTAGATACATTTTCTCAATATCTTGAAGTTTTATATTATGCGGTTCACTCTTCAACTGTTTTTTTTTTAAGCAAAAAATCCATCCCAGTAGACTCCACTTTAATGTGAGTAAAACCTCCCTTACAACCCCTGGTGGGAATCGAACCCTGGTCTATTACTAGGAAAGACAGCAACCTAACCACTAGGCTGTCATTCAATTCACAATTTTGATATCTTTAAAATGTTGTCAGTTAAAATCCTGCGAAACATTCTTTAATTTTTTCTGCGTCTGAACCAGTTGGTATTGACTAGTGCATGGTACTTCATTCTTCCAACTCTCCTTTATCACTTCCATATATTTCGGATGTTGCACCCACATGTTAAAAAACCTAACATTTGAGTGTATAACTTTGTTTGTGTTGTTTTTTGGATAATTTTTTATAATAATAAAATAATAACTGTCCCATCCCAGTATATTTTTTTACATTTTTAATACACCTTTTTATATTCTCAATACAAAAAATACCTAAAACACACACACAAAAAAAGAAACGAAACAAACATACCTCAAGTGGTTTCTTTTCTGGCTCCATCTCCTTCCCCCATCTTATTAGTATAGGACTGTGATCCGATATTTCAGATGTCATTACAAGTGCATAAGTTTCTGAGAATTACTCCAACCAAACCTCATTTACCAAGGCTCTATCAATTTGCATACACCACTGTGAGCTCAAACTCCTTTCTACTTACTACTTCTTGAATTTTACAGTGTATCATTTACTGATGAATTCTTATATTATCCACTTTATATCTACCTTTATGTCGTAATAGAAGTATCCTTCTTTTTTCTTTTTTTTTTTTAAAAAAAATTCACTCCAGCGGACTCCACTTAAATATGGGTAGAACTCCCCTTACAATCCCTGGAGGGAATCGAACCCTGGTCTATCACCAGGAAAGACAACAACCTAACCACTAGACTGTCATTCAATTCCATAACAGAAGTATCCTTCATTTTTATGTTGGACCATGATTACTAACAAAAAAGCAAAGTTATTCCATCTGTTTGTCATAGTTCTTTCACCTTCTCCTCGTTTAATTTTGTCTCCGATATTTCTGCTACTTCAACATTATTTATAAAGAGAAAGGTACCAATCTCTCTATGTTTTAGGGGATTATTTAATCCCCTAACATTCTAACTAACAAGATTCATGATTACTATTTCCTAGATTATGGAACCTAGCACCACAATCATTACTTCTACTTCCTAGTTTCTGTCTATCCATTACTCTTACTTTCACATTTTTAACTTCCTTTCTTATTTGTAACTGTTTGCCTTCCTTCTTTTAGTTACTCCTTTCACCTTGTTAATGTCCACTGCAACTATTTCCCTATTTCTGTTAACTTTAATGACCTTCTGGAATACTTATTATATATGTTTGTTTGTTAGGGATGTGCATTATAGAAGTTATAACCTCCACCCACTACAAGAAAATGACTCAATTCCCACAAACTCATTCGTAGCTAATTTTGCCTTGCAGCTCGTAGGTAACTAAATTTTTCACAGATTTATCCACGACACCGTATACGTGGTAAAACGCTCCGTTGCTAATTGTGTTTCCACGAACTACAGCTCCGTGTGTAATTCAACCACGACATTATTTTTGGTTAAAGGTTGAGACATCCGTGGATAAATTTTTGTGGGATTCCATAAAAAATACCACAACTTAACCACAGATGTTTTGAGGATAATTCGTAGTTAAATGTAACCACCAATTAACCATAGTTAACTTTTGCCACAAACTTGTTGTGGATAAATTGTAACTAATTTTTCACAAATAATCCGTAAGAAATCTCTGGATAAAATTTTTCA